AGCCAATGATGATTGAGAGATGAACAAATAAACCTTCAGAAATGTCAGAATTGCAAAATATAAACTCACAATTGTGAGAAAAATTTCCGAATTGTGAAATATAAACTGACAATTACGAGAAAAATTTCCGAATTGTGAAATATAAACTGACAATTACGAGAAAAATGTCAGAATTGCGAAATATAAACTCGGAATTACGAGAAAAATGTCAGAATTGCAAAATATAAATCCGCAATTGTGAGAAAAATGTCAGAATTGCGAAATATAAACTGACAATTACGAGAAAAATGTCAGATTTGCAAAACATAAACTCGGAATTACGAAAAAAATGTCAGAATTGCGAAATATAAACTCACAATTGTGAGAAAAATTTCCGAATTGTGAAATATAAACTGACAATTACGAGAAAAATTTCCGAATTGTGAAATATAAACTGACAATTACGAGAAAAAATGTCAGAATTGCGAAATATAAACTCAAAATTACGAGAAAAATGTCAGAATTGCGAAATATAAACTCGGAATTACGAGAAAAATGTCAGAATTGCAAAATATAAATCCGCAATTGTGAGAAAAATGTCAGAATTGCGAAATATAAACTGACAATTACGAGAAAAATGTCAGAATTGCAAAACATAAACTCGGAATTACGAAAAAAATGTCAGAATTGCGAAATATAAACTCGGAATTATGAGAAAAATGTCAGAATTGCAAAATATAAGTTCGCAATTGTGAGAAAAATGTCAAAATTGCGAAATATAAACTGACAATTACGAGAAAAAATGTCAGAATTGGGAAATATAAACTCCCAATTGTGAGAAAAATGTCAGAATTGTGAAATATAAACTCCCAATTGTGAGAAAAATGTCAAAATTGCGAAATATAAACTCCCAATTGTGAGAAAAATGTCAGAATTGTGAAATATATACTGACAATTACGAGAAAAAATGTCAGAATTGCGAAATATAAACTCCCAATTGTGAGAAAAATGTCAGAATTGCGAAATATAAACTCCCAATTGTGTGAAAAATGTCAAAATTGCGAAATATAAACTCACAATTGTGAGAAAAATGTCAGAATTGTGAAATATAAACTGACAATTACGAGAAAAAATGTCAGAATTGCGAAATATAAACTCCCAATTGTGAGAAAAATGTCAGAATTGCGAAATAAAAACTCCCAATTGTGAGAAAAATGTCAGAATTGCGAAATATAAACTCACAATTGTGAGAAAAATGTCAGAATTGCGAAATATAAACTCACAATTGTGAGAAAAATGTCACAATTGCGAAATATAAACTCCCAATTGTGAGAAAAATGTCAGAATTGCGAAATATAAACTCGGAATTACGAGAAAAATGTCAGAATTGCAAAATATAAATTCGCAATTGTGAGAAAAATGTCAAAATTGCGAAATATAAACTGACAATTACGAGAAAAATGTCAGAATTGCGAAATATAAACTCGGAATTACGAGAAAAATGTCAGAATTGCAAAATATAAATTCGCAATTGTGAGAAAAATGTAAAAATTGCGAAATATAAACTGACAATTACGAGAAAAATGTCAGAATTGCGAAATATAAACTGACAATTACGAGAAAAATGTCAGAATTGCGAAATATAAACTCCCAATTGTGAGAAAAATGTCAAAATTGCGAAATATAAACTCCCAATTGTGAGAAAAATGTCAGAATTGCGAAACATAAACTCGGAATTACGAGAAAAATGTCAGAATTGCGAAATATAAACTCGGAATTACGAGAAAAATGTCAGAATTGCAAAATATAAATTCGCAATTGTGAGAAAAATGTCAAAATTGCGAAATATAAACTGACAATTACGAGAAAAATGTCAGAATTGCAAAATATAAACTCCCAATTGTGAGAAAAATGTCAAAATTGCGAAATATAAACTCCCAATTGTGAGAAAAATGTCAGAATTGCGAAACAAACTCGGAATTATGAGAAAAATGTCAGAATTGCGAAATATAAACTCGGAATTACGAGAAAAATGTCAGAATTGCAAAATATAAATTCGCAATTGTGAGAAAAATGTCAAAATTGCTAAATATAAACTGACAATTACGAGAAAAATGTCAGAATTGCAAAATATAAACTCCCAATTGTGAGAAAAATGTCAAAATTGCTAAATATAAACTGACAATTACGAGAAAAATGTCAGAATTGCAAAATATAAATTCGCAATTGTGAGAAAAATGTCAAAATTGCAAAATATAAACTGACAATTACGAGAAAAATGTCAGAATTGCAAAATATAAATTCGCAATTGTGAGAAAAATGTCAAAATTGCGAAATATAAACTGACAATTACGAGAAAAATGTCAGAATTGCGAAATATAAACTGACAATTACGAGAAAAATGTCAGAATTGCGAAATATAAACTCCCAATTGTGAGAAAAATGTCAAAATTGCGAAATATAAACTCCCAATTGTGAGAAAAATGTCAGAATTGCGAAACATAAACTCGGAATTACGAGAAAAATGTCAGAATTGCGAAATATAAACTCGGAATTACGAGAAAAATGTCAGAATTGCAAAATATAAATTCGCAATTGTGAGAAAAATGTCAAAATTGCGAAATATAAACTGACAATTACGAGAAAAATGTCAGAATTGCAAAATATAAACTCCCAATTGTGAGAAAAATGTCAAAATTGCGAAATATAAACTCCCAATTGTGAGAAAAATGTCAGAATTGCGAAACAAACTCGGAATTATGAGAAAAATGTCAGAATTGCGAAATATAAACTCGGAATTACGAGAAAAATGTCAGAATTGCAAAATATAAGTTCGCAATTGTGAGAAAAATGTCAAAATTGCGAAATATAAACTGACAATTACGAGAAAAAATGTCAGAATTGGGAAATATAAACTCCCAATTGTGAGAAAAATGTCAGAATTGTGAAATATAAACTCCCAATTGTGAGAAAAATGTCAAAATTGCGAAATATAAACTCCCAATTGTGAGAAAAATGTCAGAATTGTGAAATATAAACTCGGAATTACGAGAAAAAATGTCAGAATTGCGAAATATAAACTCCCAATTGTGAGAAAAATGTCAGAATTGCGAAATATAAACTCACAATTGTGAGAAAAATGTCAGAATTGTGAAATATAAACTGACAATTACGAGAAAAAATGTCAGAATTGCGAAATATAAACTCCCAATTGTGAGAAAAATGTCAGAATTGCGAAATAAAAACTCCCAATTGTGAGAAAAATGTCAGAATTGCGAAATATAAACTCACAATTGTGAGAAAAATGTCAGAATTGCGAAATATAAACTCACAATTGTGAGAAAACTGTCAAAATTGCGAAATATAAACTCCCAATTGTGAGAAAAATGTCAGAATTGCGAAATATAAACTCCCAATTGTGAGAAAAATGTCAGAATTGCGAAATATAAACTCCCAATTGTGAGAAAAATGTCAGAATTGCGAAATATAAACTCCCAATTGTGAGAAAAATGTCAAAATTGCGAAATATAAACTCCCAATTGTGAGAAAAATGTCAGAATTGCGAAATATAAACTCCCAATTGTGAGAAAAATGTCAGAATTGCGAAACATAAACTCGGAATTACGAGAAAAATGTCAGAATTGCGAAATATAAACTCGGAATTACGAGAAAAATGTCAGAATTGCAAAATATAAATTCGCAATTGTGAGAAAAATGTCAAAATTGCGAAATATAAACTGACAATTACGAGAAAAATGTCAGAATTGCGAAATATAAACTCGGAATTACGAGAAAAATGTCAGAATTGCAAAATATAAATTCGCAATTGTGAGAAAAATGTCAAAATTGCGAAATATAAACTGACAATTACGAGAAAAATGTCAGAATTGCGAAATATAAACTGACAATTACGAGAAAAATGTCAGAATTGCGAAATATAAACTCCCAATTGTGAGAAAAATGTCAAAATTGCGAAATATAAACTCCCAATTGTGAGAAAAATGTCAGAATTGCGAAACATAAACTCGGAATTACGAGAAAAATGTCAGAATTGCGAAATATAAACTCGGAATTAAGAGAAAAATGTCAGAATTGCAAAATATAAATTCGCAATTGTGAGAAAAATGTCAAAATTGCGAAATATAAACTGACAATTACGAGAAAAATGTCAGAATTGCAAAATATAAACTCCCAATTGTGAGAAAAATGTCAAAATTGCGAAATTTAAACTCCCAATTGTGAGAAAAATGTCAGAATTGCGAAACAAACTCGGAATTATGAGAAAAATGTCAGAATTGCGAAATATAAACTCGGAATTACGAGAAAAATCTCAGAATTGCAAAATATAAATTCGCAATTGTGAGAAAAATGTCAAAATTGCTAAATATAAACTGACAATTACGAGAAAAATGTCAGAATTGCAAAATATAAACTCCCAATTGTGAGAAAAATGTCAGAATTGCGAAATATAAACTGACAATTACGAGAAAAATGTCAGAATTGCAAAACATAAACTCGGAATTACGAAAAAAATGTCAGAATTGCGAAATATAAACTCGGAATTATGAGAAAAATGTCAGAATTGCAAAATATAAGTTCGCAATTGTGAGAAAAATGTCAAAATTGCGAAATATAAACTGACAATTACGAGAAAAAATGTCAGAATTGGGAAATATAAACTCCCAATTGTGAGAAAAATGTCAGAATTGTGAAATATAAACTCCCAATTGTGAGAAAAATGTCAAAATTGCGAAATATAAACTCCCAATTGTGAGAAAAATGTCAGAATTGTGAAATATAAACTCGGAATTACGAGAAAAAATGTCAGAATTGCGAAATATAAACTCCCAATTGTGAGAAAAATGTCAGAATTGCGAAATATAAACTCACAATTGTGAGAAAAATGTCAGAATTGTGAAATATAAACTGACAATTACGAGAAAAAATGTCAGAATTGCGAAATATAAACTCCCAATTGTGAGAAAAATGTCAGAATTGCGAAATAAAAACTCCCAATTGTGAGAAAAATGTCAGAATTGCGAAATATAAACTCACAATTGTGAGAAAAATGTCAGAATTGCGAAATATAAACTCACAATTGTGAGAAAACTGTCAAAATTGCGAAATATAAACTCCCAATTGTGAGAAAAATGTCAGAATTGCGAAATATAAACTCCCAATTGTGAGAAAAATGTCAGAATTGCGAAATATAAACTCCCAATTGTGAGAAAAATGTCAGAATTGCGAAATATAAACTCCCAATTGTGAGAAAAATGTCAAAATTGCGAAATATAAACTCCCAATTGTGAGAAAAATGTCAGAATTGCGAAATATAAACTCCCAATTGTGAGAAAAATGTCAGAATTGCGAAACATAAACTCGGAATTACGAGAAAAATGTCAGAATTGCGAAATATAAACTCGGAATTACGAGAAAAATGTCAGAATTGCAAAATATAAATTCGCAATTGTGAGAAAAATGTCAAAATTGCGAAATATAAACTGACAATTACGAGAAAAATGTCAGAATTGCGAAATATAAACTCGGAATTACGAGAAAAATGTCAGAATTGCAAAATATAAATTCGCAATTGTGAGAAAAATGTCAAAATTGCGAAATATAAACTGACAATTACGAGAAAAATGTCAGAATTGCGAAATATAAACTGACAATTACGAGAAAAATGTCAGAATTGCGAAATATAAACTCCCAATTGTGAGAAAAATGTCAAAATTGCGAAATATAAACTCCCAATTGTGAGAAAAATGTCAGAATTGCGAAACATAAACTCGGAATTACGAGAAAAATGTCAGAATTGCGAAATATAAACTCGGAATTACGAGAAAAATGTCAGAATTGCAAAATATAAATTCGCAATTGTGAGAAAAATGTCAAAATTGCGAAATATAAACTGACAATTACGAGAAAAATGTCAGAATTGCAAAATATAAATTCGCAATTGTGAGAAAAATGTCAAAATTGCGAAATTTAAACTGACAATTACGAGAAAAAATGTCAGAATTGCGAAATATAAACTGACAATTACGAGAAAAATGTCAGAATTGCGAAATATAAACTCCCAATTGTGAGAAAAATGTCAAAATTGCGAAATATAAACTCCCAATTGTGAGAAAAATGTCAGAATTGCGAAACATAAACTCGGAATTACGAGAAAAATGTCAGAATTGCGAAATATAAACTCGGAATTACGAGAAAAATGTCAGAATTGCTAAATATAAATTCGCAATTGTGAGAAAAATGTCAAAATTGCGAAATATAAACTGACAATTACGAGAAAAATGTCAGAATTGCAAAATATAAACTCCCAATTGTGAGAAAAATGTCAGAATTGCGAAATATAAACTCGCAATTGTGGAACAAGTCAGATTTGTGAGATATGATATGATTTTTAGAGTTATACGGATGTACAATGAGAAAGCCCTCACCACTTCATCCTCGAAGCCCCCGGCGAGCACCAGCGAGTACGAGCCGTCGTTACTGCGCCCGTGGATCCCCCCGACATGAGGCCTGTGCACGCCCGCCTCGCTCACCTGAACACACACACACACACACACACACACAGTTAACAGCCAGCCCATCCCAGAATGCACTGCTCCGAGCAGATCTTCTCACCTGAACACGAAACTTCCACGTGGTTCCGACGGGAACGCCAGGAACTGGGCCGTAGTGATTGGAGGGGACAATCGTGCATTCTTTAGTGCGGCCCACACACGCCATACCCTAAAACACACACAAACACACACACACATGTTTTTTATCTGACTAAATGGGCGTCTGAAACTGTTCAAGCGGTTACACTAACAGGCCTTTGATCTGCAGAAGCTCACACTCGATGATCAGCCGTTATTAATCAACAGAACAATCAGTGTATACTCAGCAGGACCGCAACACACAAACACACACACACACACGTTCATAATTTAAATCCTCTGCTTTTGCTTTTGAATACAGGTTTTGAGAAATTCATTAAAAAGAATTTGGGGAATTTGCTTAATTGTGATGCAAGTAAAAAATGAAGAAATATAAGTTTTGATGTGTGCTTATTAACACAGCAGGATAAACGTGTGTGTGTGTGTGTGTGTTTGTGTGTGTGAGTGTGTGTGTATTACTGTGTGTGTGTGTGTGTGTGTGTGAGTGAGTGTGTGTGTATTACTGTGTGTGTGTGTGAGTGTGTGTGTGAGAGAGAGTGAGTGTGTGTGTGTATGTGTGTGAGTGAGTGTGTGTGTATTACTGTGTGTGTGTGTGTGTGTGTGTGTGAGAGTGTGTGTATTACTGTGTGTGTGTGTCTGTGAGAGAGAGTGTATTACTGTGTGTGTGTGTGTGTGCGAATCTGTGAGTGTGCGTGTGTGTGAGTGAGTGTGTGTGTATTACTGTGTGTGTGTGTGAGAGAGAGAGTGTGTGTATTACTGTGTGTGTGTGTGTGTGTGTGTGAGAGAGTGTGTATTACTGTGTGTGTGTGTGTGTGTGTGTGTGTGTGCGAGTCTGTGAGTGTGTGTGTGTGCGTCTCACCTTGCCCCAGTCTCTCTGGCTCTCTGTTGTGGCCGACGGCATCTTGGATTTCTTCTTGCTGGTTCGGAGTTTCTCTCCGGCTTTAACCACTTCACTGCTGTCGTTCTTACAGGTGGGGCAATACCTGCACAACACAACACACACACACACACCTGTATTACAGTATATATATATATATATATATATATATATATGTGACAATATCCATCCACATCATACAATAGCGCCTGTCAGTCAGAGAGAGGCTGTGATGTAAGAAACACTGATGAACATTATGGTAAATAACCGCACAACTAAACTAAACCTCTGGCGTCACGTGGAAGTGAGTGTGTGTGTGTGTTTGAGTGAGTGTCCATTGCAGCGTTACAGTCAGATGTGGAAGTGATGCTGGAGTGTGTGTGTGTGTGTGTTTGAGTGAGTGTCCATTGCAGCGTTACAGTCAGATGTGGAAGTGATGCTGGAGTGTGTGTGTGTGTGTGTTTGAGTGAGTGTCCATTGCAGCGTTACAGTCAGATGTGGAAGTGACGCTGGAGTGTGTGTGTGTGTGTGTGTGTTTGAGTGAGTGTCCATTGCAGCGTTACAGTCAGATGTGGAAGTGATGCTGGAGTGTGTGTGTGTGTGTGTTTGAGTGAGTGTCCATTGCAGCGTTACAGTCAGATGTGGAAGTGACGCTGGAGTGTGTGTGTGTGTGTGTGTGTTTGAGTGAGTGTCCATTGCAGCGTTACAGTCAGATGTGGAAGTGATGCTGGAGTGTGTGTGTGTGTGTGTTTGAGTGAGTGTCCATTGCAGCGTTACAGTCAGATGTGGAAGTGACGCTGGAGTGTGTGTGTGTGTGTGTGTGTGTTTGAGTGAGTGTCCATTGCAGCGTTACAGTCAGACGTGGAAGTGATGCTGGATTGTGTGTGTGTTTGAGTGAGTTTGTGTGTATGAGAGAGTAAGTGAGTGTGTGTGTCTGAGTGTGAGAGAGAGGTGTGTGTGCAAGTGAGTGCGTGTGAGAGACTGTGTTTGTGAGTGTGCGTGTGTGTGTGTGTGTGTGAAAGAGAGAGAGAGAGTGTGTGTGTGTGTGTGTGAGAGAGAGCGAGAGAGAGAGTGTGTGTGTGTGTGTGTGAGTGTGTATGTGTGTGAGAGCAAGAGAGCGAGAGAGAGAGAGTATGTGTGTGTGTGTGAGAGAGAGAGCGAGAGAGAGTGAGTGTGCGTGTGTGTGTGAGAGAGAGTGAGTGTGCGTGTGTGTGTGAGAGAGAGAGAGAGTGTGTGTGTGTGTGTCTCACCAGTCTTCATCCTCAGGTATGGAGGACAGTGGAGGGTTCAGACAGTAAATGTGGAAGGCCATGTTACACTCGTCACACAGGAGCTGCATGTGAGCGTCTTGCTTCCCTCCACACACACAACACGAGCAGAACCGGCACTCGGCGTCGGGGTCCGCTTTACAGTGCTTACACTCCGGCCCGCTCTTACCTGACACACACACCACACGCGTCACACACACTTCAACATCAACCCTAGGGCTGGGCATCGATTCAGATGGTCCGAATCGATTTCAATTCTAAATTCGATTTCGACTCAATGAATATAGGTTTAAAAGAGTAGTTCACTTTCAAACGAAAAATTAGCCCCTGGTTTCCTCTAATCAACCCTAATCCGGCCATACCCATGTGACCCGAGGACACGTACGTTTGAACGGGCCGTCAGACGAAGACAGCGCTGGCGCTCCGGGTTTCTCTATCCGGTAAATCTCATCCAGAAACTGCAGCTTACAGTCACCAATCACATCGCCCGGACCTCTGAAACAGCCAATCACAGCAGGGGGTTACAGTGACATCATCTGTGTGTGTGTGAATGATCAGTGAATCACTAGGGCTCTTTCAAATCCACTGTTTGGACCCAAATTCTATGTTTTCCGTTTTTATTTTTCTGGATTACACAATTAAATTAATTTTCAGTAATTAAATAGAACATCTAATAAACGTGTAATAATTTATTTACTATGAATCAATAATATGATTGATTCAAAGACTTGACGTGTTTCATTACTGGATGAATCAGCGTTTTTGATTGAATCTCTGAATGAATGATTCAATGTTTCTAACAGTCTCTTGTCTCCACCTACTGGTGTAACGCTGTAACTGATACAATCTTTATTTGAAGCATCAAGTTTCTTTCAAAAGGTGATGTACTCTATTTTGAACGCTACTATAAACATCAGTGAACTATAATCTTTTATCCCAGTACTTCTGTGATAATCTGAGTGATTGTGAGACAGAAATAAGCTCACCCCAGCAGGATCTTGACGTGGATCTCTTTGTTGGTGCGTGAGACGGCGTTCAGGGTCGAGATCTCGGCGTCGTACCAGAAGCCTCGCTCCTCGGGAAGCTCCAGGTTATAGTTGACCATCACCACATCTCCCACCTGGAGCTGGTCGAAGCGCAGAAGAGTTCTGGCCCGCGGGCGCACGTCATCCGGGCTCATCGGCACCACACCGTTCTCCGGGTAACTGAAACAGACCAGCGTCATCAGCGGACGAATGAACCCAGTCGTCATGTTTAACTAGTGACTGAACAACAGAAGGCTGAGAGAAACATAATGTGCTTCACCAAAACAGGGAACTGCAATAATGACTGTTTTCAAACAGGTTTCCTGAGCACTGCCCTCTGCTGCCATTGGTCAGTCAAAATGACAGCCCCGCCCCCTAACTCACTCCATTGGTTGAGTCAGAAGTTGACGTGTTCAGGCTTGTTATTAAAAAAAAACGGATCAATGTTCTGAAAGCATCAGAGTCACAAGATAAAACTGCGAATGATTTATTTAATGAAGGGTTTCCGAAACTTCCGCTAACGAAAACCTAATTAGATCATACAAATATATATATATAAAATGTTTTTTTTATTTTTTTTATTAAAACGACTAAAATTTATAATTTCATATAAATTGTCAAATTAATATGAATCTATCAATATATATTTGTAAACAAAAACAATCTAAAAATAGATCTAACAATTAGACAATTTTTTCAATTAAAATAATAATATAAAAACAATAATAAATATAGCTGCGAGCAGCGATTACGGGCCCAAGCCGGTGGCACCGCAACCCCGGTGCCTTTAGTTACCTAAAGGCACCGGGGTGGCGGTACCACCGGCTTTGGCCCTTCATCGCTGCTCGCAGCTATATTTATATATATATATATATATATATATATATATATATATATATATATAAAGCCGGTGGCACCGCCACCCTGGTGCCTTTAGGGTTATTGTGCACGACGTGCAAAAACGTAACCCTGCTTTGACTGTCGAAAAGAAGTGTGCTGTAGAGCTTGTATCAGTGTGGGCTCTGCAAAAGTGTGCATTGAGGGCACATATCAACCACAAAGTATGCGAGAGCAACCTTCTGAAAGGTCAGGTCTACATCCAGGTCTACATCTGCCGTGTGTTTACATCATAGTAGTGAAGTTTGAAGCAATCAGGTGATTTCAAAGCTTTTTGAAAGTGACAGACTTCCTGCTGCCAGTTGGTGGCGCTATAACCGGGGTGGCGGTGCCGCCGGCTTTGGCCCTTTCATCGCTGCTCGCAGCTATATTTATATATATACACACACAAACACACACACACACACACACACACACATACATATATATATATATATATATATATATATATATATATATATATATATATATATATATATATATACATAAATATATATATATTGTTTTTTTAAGAGACAAGACAGAATATTACTTGCCTGATCTGATTAGAAAAATAGTGTTTGTGTGTGTGTGTGTGTGTGTGTGTGTGTGTGTGTGTGTGTGTGTGTGTGTGTGTGTGTGTGTGTGTGTGTGTGTGTGTGTGTGTGTGTGTGTGTGTGTGTGTTTGTGTGTGTGTGTGTGGCGTAATTGAACAATGTAGACATAAAAACATACTCCGTCCTTTTGTTCATACAGGACATTATTCAAACTGCAAAGTGTTTACTTATATTTGTGTACACTTGCAATAAAACACAACATTGTGCTTTTGTCAAGCTATAAACTCTTGTCAAACTGTAAACTACAACTGTCACCCAACCAAAATCTCTTACACACACACACACACACACACACAGTTTAAAAGCAAAAAATATCAAACAATCCTATTTAAAAACAGTCTGTGGGAGCCATCTTTTGGACATTCATCATATCGCATTGGTTTTCATTTCTTGTCATCAAACAGAGCCCTAATCTGTTTATTTTTTCAGTTACACATTCTACATTGATTAAAAAAGAAAAATCAAATGTGTTTTTATTTTATACAGAAATAAATAATCTATCATTCAGATGAGAATAAAGTTAGTGTTAGTTCAAATTTTAAGGAAAACAAATATATGATCTGAAATATAGCACATTCATTTAAAATTCATTCAGGTTCAATTACCAAACATACAATCTTAATGTAATTTAAAGCAAACAATACATTTAAAATATATGGGTTGTATGACTATTTTTTAATATAAAAAGATATATATCCAAAAAGACAAGGCCTAAAGTTTAACAAGGGTTAAACTCTTATCACTGTAACAGACACAATCACACACACAATCACACACACACACACACAAGTCAAATCACTTACATTTTACATGCAATATTGACTTTTTTTCTGTTTCAGCAGCGAAAATAGTTAAACAAAGATCACAGCAGAACCATCGCGCATCTCACAGCAACGCGTTCTCATTACTGAATGATTCAGCATTTTGAACGAATCGGTTGACTCAAAGATTCAATGACCAATCAATCCATAAACATCTATCTCATTCATGAATGACTCAGTCGTTCAAACGAATGAATCAATGACTCGCTCATTAAGACGGTCGCCTGGCGACACCTAATGACGGTTTAGTGTTATGTTTAAAAGTATCATTCTTTCCAACGATTGTTAATTAACTCATATTTGAAACATAAGCTATATTTATATATATACATACATATACACACACATACACAAAAATAAAATAAAAACACATTTGAAACGTGTTTGCTTACTAAATTGTGAGCTGAACGAAAGTTGCAGCAAATATCAGCAACAGGAGTCAAATTTCATTAATCACGAGAGTGAAGAGCTGACTGAAAAGATGATGATGGAATAGGCTATTTTATGTAAAAACGCCTATTTAAGCGAATCTGTCATTGTACTCTTTTATTGTTGTGTTTTCCGTGAAAAATAATAGACTATTGAACTCACAATTCAAGCAATCGGCCCCCGAAATTGCACTAATTTTAGTGACACTAAAAAGTATGCGGCTGCACTGGCATTCATAATGGTGCGCGTCCATGGCGACGAGCGAGCAGAACAGAGCGAACGTTTAGTTAATTTCTACTTCCATAGGAATTCATTCGAGCGCCACCATTTCAATGTCTGTGCGGACGTCCATATTATACTTTCGCTTTCAAGTTAGTGTTTTTAAACCCCCCAGCGGGAGGTTTACACAATTGGTTTACACAATCACACGTTGATTAACCGGTGGGAAAATATTCCCATAGTAACATCCCTAATATATAAATATTTATAAATTCAATAGGCCTACCTGATTTTGAACACAAGAGGGCAGTATAGCACTATATATGATTTGGATTATTATTATTTTTGACTAAACAACCATTCTGGCTGTTTTTAAACTTAAAAATAATTCTTAAATTGAAAAAAAGGAATAAAATGGGTTTAGTTCTAATATTTGTATAATTTTATATAAAAATAAATGGTGTATAATTACATTTTAGAAAGATATGAGACATGCCCTGATTCTTTTTTTGACATTACTTGAATCCCTCAACCATAGCAAAACCGTTTGAGATATTCAATATCTGTTCACAATTTAGCATCTTCAATGTATTTTCATCATGTTGAAAAAGTTTGGCATGAATAAAATAAACTACTTAGGAGGAGTAGCTAAAAACTCAGAATCTGAAATCCACATTCAAACCAAAATATCTGACTTCCTGTTGGTCGTAGCTAATTACGGTAAATTAGAAAGTTGTCCGGCTCGAAGAGTACAATATACATATCGAGTTTTGTTACTGTAGATAAAACTAACCCCCCCACTTTTGTCAAAAGCATTTAGAAAGTGACACACTTCCTGCTGCCAGTTGGTGGCGCTATAACTTTGACTCACAATAGTCACATCCATGTGATCGGCCTCTTACAGCGATCACACTGCTGAAGTTTCATCAAGATCAGTTAATGTATGCAGAAGTTATAACGCACTTCTTGTTTGTTGTTTCTCGCCATAAATTCGTTTCCTCGCCACGGCCAAACCGTTCGAGATATCAAAAATCCCCTCGCAAACTTTCATCCTCAATGTCTTGACTTCATGCTGACCGAGTTTCGTGCCGTTTGTTTGAATTCTCTAGGAGGAGTATTTCACATTCCATTGCGTGTGTTTTACCAACAACCCTAAATAGCCGACTTCCTGTTGGGCTGGGGTAAAAAGTAAGAGTGTGAAGTATATATGAAACGAGGAGATCTACATGTGTACCGAGTTTCATATTATTACATGCAAGCGTGTTTGATTTATGGACCATGTTTTCGGACCCCGTTCCAGGGGGCGCTGTCGAGCCCCCCTGCCACGCCCGGGTACCATCTTCAGCCCGGCCCTGATGGCCGCGGGTTCTGACATGTGTGCAAAGTTTCAGGAGTTTTTGAGCATGTTAAGGCCTCCAAAAGTGTCCAAAAGGTAGTAAAAAAATAATAATAATAATAATAATAATAAATAATCCTAAGGAAAACAATAGGGCCTTCGCCCTTTGGGCTTGGGCCCTAATAATAAATAATCCTAAGGAAAACAATAGGGCCTTCGCCCTTTGGGCTTGGGCCCTAATAATAATAAATAATCCTAAGGAAAACAATAGGGCCTTCGCCCTTTGGGCTTGGGCCCTAATAAAACAAAAAAATAAAAAATCATAAAAAAGGAAAAAAGAAAGGAAAATAAGAAACAATCCAAATAAAACAAAAAATGTATTCATATACATTTTCAAATTGAAATATATATTTCTAAAACATAAATCATCAAAATAAAACTTGCTAAAAATAAATTGCTTACAAACACTTGCTTTAAACTTATTAAATCATAAAAATGTCACATCAAAATAATTATAAAAAACCTATATTTTATTTGTAGACCTGCATGTCGGGTGACCATTAACTGACATCAGAGAACCGTGAACATGTGAATGTGTTGATAAACTGTTGAAATATTAACTTTTGAGGGGGACATTATCCGGCTGATTTGATCAGCTATAACCTGCCGTATATTAGACGCCTTGATCTCTAGATCTCGACATCGGCCGCTGAGAAACGACAAACGAGTTATTCTGAACGTTTGCATCTCACGCCACATGACATCACTCTGAGCAAAACAGCCACAACACGAACACGAATCTCCTGAGGATATACAGTGATGTCGCGAGGTCCCGTCCTCAATAACCCAATAAACACGTACAAGATCCCGGTGAATCACACA